TATTAAGTTTGAAATTAGAGATTTTCTTCCTCCTGCAATTCTTAATAGATATGTTCTAGTGAAACAGATTCTTTTAATGTTTTTACAAACAGATTTATTTTAAATAAAAAAAACAAACATTTTTATATGAATTCTCTAAGAATAAAATATTTCAAACATGCAATTGTTTTATTATTTACACTATTTACATACAGACTATTTTCCACATCTTAGTTGTTGTTATCACAATGTTTCGGACATTGTGTCCTCGGAACTTCATCAGGCACAACAGCTGAAATATTGATAACAACAAAGATGAGGACAACAGTCTGCATGTAAATAGTGTAAATAATTCTCATCCAAGGAATTCAGACAGAAATTATGCAATTGCTTGCATAACAAAAATAAAATTACTTTAAGAAAATATTAAAAACGAGCCTTTGTTTTGTAACAATATTTAGCATGACCAAGCGGAAGAAATTGCATTAGTTTATACTATTGATTATTAGAGACCAAACGGAAGAAAATTATATTAGGTGATGTTCTATTCTGTTTCCAATATGAACAGAGAAAAAAAAAGACGATTTTTAATGAAAGGAATTATAATTGAACCGGAATTAGGTGCTGGTAAAATTATCACAAGAGTCATGGTATTCTCAAACAAAAACAGTCATATCGGATGAGGTTGTGGGGATCAATCAACTGTTGATGACAGCTATAAAACAGGACTGTTTAATCAAGGAGAAAGCATTTTCAAGCTGTGGATTGTAAACCAAAAAAAAATGTGTCAACACAGAACAATGGATGCCCTCTGACTCCCAACGGAATGAGTTGGAAGTGAATTTTGTTAACAGGATTTAAACAGGCCAGGTAGTTTGGAAATTCTAAATTTGAACAAAGCCAAAACGCATTTATAAAGTGTGTATATAAGGAAATTGCCTATTCAGTTATCTATGGCATGTTCGAAGGTTATGCTAATTGGTGAAATATGGAGAAAAAAAAATACTGAATTTTCCTGGGAAACTAATTTGGTATTTTGGAAAGAAAGAAAGGGCCGAGAAAAGGAGTGACATCATGAAGACGATACTATCCCATTGGCTGTGTCACGAGGGAAGAAGACGAAAAGAATGATGTCATAGAAATAATGTTATCTCATTGGCTGTGTCACGAGGGAAGAAGACAGAAAGAAATGAAGCCGTAATTTCATTGGCTAACAAGGGTCTGAGATGAGGTTCACATAGACACCCTAGTGACCATTGTTCCCATCCCAGTAAAGGATGGACAAGCATAAATACAGAGCCCCAAGGGGGTAATGAGAGAGCAGTTGCAGTACAGTTGAGTTGCAGTTCAGTGAGGCTTGAGGCACCAACACCGCTGCCCACCAACCTCCGCAACAATCAGAGACAGTCTTCGTCAGTTTCTGTGAGGCTTCGGAGTAAAGAAATAATGCCAACCAAGAACTCCGACCGGAGTGAAGAAATAACGCCAACCAGAAAACTTGAAAATCACCCCTTAAAGAAATTAGTGAAGAAATACCGCCAACCTCCGCAACAATCAGAGACAGTCTTCATCAGTTTCTGTGAGGCTTTGGAGTGAAATAACACCAACCAGAAAACTTGAGACTCACCCCTTAAAGAAATTAGTCGAGACTTCCATTCCGTGGTCAGCTTCTTAGGAACAGGGGTTGGGAAGAAGACAATTGGTGATTGTACTCCGAATTCTTCTGTATATAAAGACTTTCTTTTCTACAACAAACTCAGGCATTGTTCTGTTTATATTTGGTGCCGTTTCATCTACCCAATTGTGCGTCTGTGTTCGGATTGGTTCGACTTGGTGGAGAGACACCTGGCGAAAACCCACGTGGCTTCCTTGAGATCAAATTCACAGCATGGGCAAGGGAGTTCACTGTGGGTGGAGTCGACTCAGAGACTGGCTTCTAGCTACCTGCCTCGTCACTGTCGACGAAGAATTCGTTCCGGGACGAGGGACCTTCATGGTCTGGTTCCCGGAAGGCCAATCCAACGCTGTGGGGTGGTCACAGTTTAACAAAAAATTTAAAACTTATGTGATATAGAGTGTAGGGTACAGTTTGGCAATATCAGTTCTATACAGATATCCATAACATAAGCTCAGTTTCAAACTTGACAATACACTGTGAAAAACAAGAGGGAAACACTTTTCAAGCCAGATTACTTTATTTCTAGGACTTATACTTTTCACTTATTTGTAGACTCAAAATTATGAATCATCTTTAAAACTTATATGGATCATAAAACTTATAAAAAGTCTTATGCAATAGACAAGTTTTTAATCAACTTCAACAGCGGAGAAATAAATAAATACTTCAATATAAATTTTTACGGATTATAAAACTTATATGGATGATACAGTATTTACATTAGTCGGACTATTGTCCTCATCTTTGTCGCCATATTTGTCACAACGTTTCGGCCGTTGTACGCTCCGGCCTTCTTCAGGTGGTTGGAATTTCGAACTGAACCCTTTATTTCGATCACTGGGGTAGACTGTTCTAGTTCCACGTGCCATGTTTGGTGGATGTCAGATGACAAAGATGAGGACAATAGTCCGACTAATGTAAATACTGTACATAATACCTCATCTCAGAAATATAGACAGACTCTTATATGGATGATCTTAATAACTTATTCTTTTCTCTCATTTGTAGGCTCAAAATTATACATCATCTTCAAACATAATTCTTTCTATAATTTTGAACTTATTTCCACAAATTATTCATTAAATATCAAAGAACTGTACATGCCTTATGACTTGCAATTTGTCTAATAGATGGTTGTTAACAAAAGGGACAGCCCAACATGCAATTTACAAATTTGAGATAACAAAATCAAACAAGTACAATTTAAATATCTGGGAAATGTTTTAACAGAAAACAGACAGTGTGAAACTGAAATTTGAAGGTGCTTGGAATAGCAAAAGAAGCATTCCAAAAGCTAAGAAAAGTATTAAGAAACAGGAAAATTTAATTAGAAACAAAGAAAAGAGTTACATAATATCAGTCCTCCTATATGGTAGTGAATGCAGGACAATCTCCTCACAGACAAAGAAGAGTTTTGATGCAACAGAAATGTGGTTCTACAGAAAGATGCTGAGAATACCATGGAACAAAGAGGTAAGCAACAACAAAGTTTCAAAGAAAATGGAAACAAAAAGATCACTTATACGGAACATCAAGAAGAGATAGTTAAAATTTCTAAACACAGTGAGGAAGGAGGGCTCAAAAAATTTGACACTCACAGGATATATCAAAGGCAAAAGGAAAACAAATTCTACCTAGTAATTTTAAGTAAATGGATGTCAGAACAAGGTTTAGGAGAAATAACAAAAAAACAAAATTTATTAAGAGCTATAAAGAACAGGAAATTGTGGAGAGACATGATCAGCCACATCTTGAATGAATACAGCACATAGAAGAAAAAGTCATGGTGAATGCATTGTGAGATTGTGTGTGGAAAGTGTTCATAAGATAGAACAAATACTACAATGTAAACATTAATATGTATAAGTATTAATTTTACAGACATTAATTTTTAGTAATAACAAGTTTTAATAAGTTGCAAAATATTCCTGTTTCTTAATACTTTGCTTAGCTTTTGAAAGGCATCTTTCACTATCCTAATGCAACTTTGGATTTCAGTGTCACATTTTTCATCCTCTGTTAAAACACTTTCCAGATATCTAAATTGCTGTACTTTTTTATTTTTGCTATTTCCAATTTGTAATTTGTATGTTGGCTGTTACAATTGTTGATTGCTATTAAAAGTTTATTTTTTGTGTTGATTCATTCAATTTCTTTACCTATTCTTGATGATGTTACTTTATGAGACCAGCATGGTGTCAACTCAGTGGGAGCAGATAAAAATAATATTAATTTGACTTTGTGCACATGGCCAGTGTTACTTTTTTTTTTTCATTACATTTCTGTTACTCTCTTTATCATTAAAATAGGGAATAATGAATCTAAGTTATTATGAGAACTTACCTATAACAATAATGGACTCTTCTTGACACTATAAATACTGCGCCTCTCAAGAGGTATAATGAATGAATGGTGTAATGAGTCGAGACAATATTAGTTCACTCTAAACCAAACGGACAGTCATTACTAATACCTTCAACTTCTTGTACTATATTTCTGTTGTAATATATCTTTGTTATTCTACTCTTGTGTTCGTGTTGTTCTTCCTTGGTTCTAACCTTGGACCATAATTGTGGTGCGAGGACATTGGACCATGACAGTTATATATCTATAATTAGTACTAAGATGCACCCTACAAAAGTAAATTTTTCCATTTTTTAAAAATTAGAACTTAAACTGATAGATTTCTAAAATTTAATAAAATAAAATTCTAACAAATGTCAGTATGGTGAACTCCAACTCAAAGGCTGTTCAAAGTAAACCAAACTACAGTGAATATTCTTCTTGTTATTTACTATGGGTTCTACATGCACATGTCTCCTGCCATTGATCAGTTGTTGTGTTCCAACACAACAACTGATCAATTGCAGGAGACATCACAAACCAAAGAACTCTTAGTGACTAATACCTGATTTCTTGCCAAAAAAGAAAATCAGCTTTATTTGAGCTGGTCTGATCTCAACAGATGTAGTAAAGAACATATAATATGTTAATTCAGACAGAATAATTAACCAATCAAATGGTTCTTTTCAGTTTTTCAAAATGCCTAAGCTTGTGATAGTAGTAATTCCACTAACAAATGAAAAGTGAGTCATACACAGCAACTTCAAAAGAAACATCACCTTTTATTCACAAATATCACAGATACAGACATTAAGGCATCGGCAACTATTTGACTGTCTTCCTCTCTTTCTGAACATATGTAGAACTAATCCCTTTCCTTGTCCAGGGTGTATATTGTAATATATATATATATATATATATATATATATATATATAGCAGAATCAGGGCAATGAACATTTCATGAAAATCTTTCAAAGAAAAAAAGAAAAAGAAACTCACCTTCGCTTTTCTAAAGTTTGACATTTTTCTTCCAATAACTGATTTCGACTTTTCTCATAATCTAGTTCTTGTTTAACTTTTTCAAGTTGGCATACACTTTTGTACTCATTTAGTTCAGTTGCTGAAATGAGAAATCAAATATTACCTTCATTATAGATTGCTTTACTTGGACTCATATTCTGAGCATGCATTTAAAGAAATAAAATTTAATTCAAATTTACTCATTATTTCGACAAGTTTTCCTCTTTGATACCTAGACTTTATGAATTTAAGTTCAGTACCAAATTGGCAGCTAGGTCTCATCATTTTACAGTTGAAATGGTTAGATATAACTAAGTTCTATGCTAACAGTTTCTTCTCTTGTGCTTCTCACTTGTGGAACTCACTTCTGGCTTCTTTCCTAACAGTCAACTTTAATTTCAAAAATTTAAATGCAATGTTAATCATTATCTTCTGTTTTCTTAATTTCTGTTCTTTATCCTTAACATTTTCTTTTTCTCATACTCTCTAACATTCAGTAATCCCTTAGTCTATATCTTAGTAGCTGAAATGATTAAAAAAATTCATAAATAATAAAATATAATTTGACTTCAAGACAACTTGCAATTAATCAAAATGAAAAAGGTCTGACCTGCTCTCTTTAGATAGGAAAAGGTTGACATTGGAAATAAAATGAAAAATAAATGTCCAAAATGCAATCTACTTTATATTATAACAGTAATTTCTATTTATTTACATTCAGACTACTATCCTTATCTTTGTTGTTATTATCACAACAGTTTGGCCATTATGTCACCCAGCCTTCTTCAGGATTAAATAAAAAACAAGAGCAAACGAACATTCTTGTATAGGTCAACAGCCATCTATCACAATGTGGTAGTCTGGGCTCCATAGCTATGTATTCAACCAATGTAGTGATGAGAGGGCCTCACTTGGCAAAGGGCTTCCTAGAGTGAAGTCAACAGCAAGAGTAGAAATTTCCCCAATGGAATTAATGGCCATGTGTTCATGACCAAGAAAAGCCTTCAAATTGGAGGATATTAGCTGCAAGGGATGGTCTCCACCAGGTTTACTTGCCATGTATGACTGAACACCTCTCCTGCTTTTAACTCAGATATGTGAAGGGAACTGGTCAGGTGTTCCGCTGTGCAGTGACCCTATGGTTACACCCAGTCATGAGACTGATGGTGACAGCTAGACCAGCAGAAGTGGTAGGAACTGACATCACAACAAGGAGAGTAATCTTTAATTATTCCAACAAAAAATATGCCAATATGATATACACCTAAATTATTCAATAAAGCTTTGATCAACAGCTGATATACTAATATATTTTACTATACATCCCCAGAATATCTAATTCTGGTCGAGCACTCTTGAGAGAAAGTGCAAATTTGTAAACAATGGCTACTACTGCTAATACTGCAAAGCTCTTCTATGAATTGAGCCCTCTCGGTCATTGGCGTGTTTATTCAAAGAATAAGTACGTAAAAATCGACCTTCCTCTCTACCGGGGGCTGATAGCTCAGGAGTAAAATCTCCGACTGATGCCAAATCTGTCAGGTTTTGATCACAGCTTGAGGCAATTGGATGTCTAGCCACACTGATGAGCTGTGATACAGCAAAACTGTCTGTGGATCACACACACACACACACACACACACACATATATATATGAATGAGAGGATGAGATGAAATGGAAAAACTTATAAACAACATTTCACTGATATATGTTTGGCCTCCTCAAAATGGAATGAATGAAAATTGTAAGGAAAAAGTTTTGGGCTTTTTGAAGATAAGAGAGGCAATAAATCCAATTACCTTATCAGAGTTGACAACCAGAAAGTGTTTTGGTTTTGTGTTTATTATATATATATATATATATATATATATATATATATATTATATATTAGAGGTATTGGTGTCTTTTGGATTTTAAATTAGCCCAGTCCAAGTGGATTTGTTTTTTTTCTATTGCCTCATAATATCCAACACTGCTCTAGAGATCAAAATCTGAGATTCAATGAAGAAGACAGCACCTTTTGAGAGATCAAAACTTGAGATCTAACCATTAAGGCAGCATCACTTCAGAGATCAAAATCTCAAATCCAACTATTTAGATGCCACTACTTGAGAGATCAAATATTCAGATGGCTCTGTTTTAGAGATCAAAATCTGACATCCATTAAGACAACACAGATTCTGAGATCAAAATTTATTCAATCATTAAGAACATTGCTTGAGAGATCAAAATCTGAGACCTGGCCATTAAGATGAAATTGCATTAATTTTCTCGTACAACAGAGAAACTGCCTTTTTGTTTTATGTACTTTTTTTATTTTTACAGTTTAACAAATTCTAACTGAAAAGAATTGCTTAACTGTAGATGCTGCTTCCTCATCATAGATATGAATGAAAATTCAAGGTAATGAGATCCCATAACATTTAATTGATTATTTTACTTGGACGTGTGCTCATTTTCAAGTGTCTGTCATAGTTGGCAATTTTCCAGGAATTTCAAACCACACCCTTTATTCAATCCACAGGAGGGGGTAAATTTTTCTCATTCCACTGTCCATGCCAGAGGATATCTCATTTCAGTTAATTTTTTCTTCTTTCAAGTAAATTCATCCTTGTGATGCCACTTGTCTTCTCTATTGAGCTGAGTATATAATAATTTCTCATCTAAAAAATTTAGGCAAAGACATTTGCCGCTCAAAAGTTGTTACTGGTTGTTATTTTAGCATAGTCTGGCACAGGGCCATAATAATGTGACTCATTATGATAAGTCTTCGCAGTCTATGAGATTAGCTAATTAAATATTACTCTACAATATATGCCCTACAGCAAAAGTAAAACCTAAAAAAAATTTCAATTTTGACTCACTTAAAGCTTGGTTTTCCATCATGATTGCAACCAATTGCTCTTGAAGTTGCGTTAAATGTTGTTCAAAACTGATCCGGTCTTCTGGGCTCAGTGGATGGATGCATTCTGATCTTGGAGATTCTGGAGATCCTTGTACGGATCCTTGTCCTGATATGCTGCTGTTTTCTGTCTCTCGTTCAGCAGAACCGGATTCAAATGTCTGGAAAACAATGCAACAATAAATTCATCTTCAGAATCTGATGTATTAATCATTTTCAATGAAAACTGATTGTTTTGCAAGAACAGAATTATTCAATATTTCTTTAGGACATCAAGGATGAAATGTAATTTATAGGTGAAGATATTCTACTCATTTCTAAGATGCCAGTAAAAGTGCGTGATCAGAAGTTGTGCTATATTTTATGATGAGTCATATAACCTAAAAATAAATCAGTACAGTAAATTTCCACACTATGGATGTGGTTGGTACTTTGAGAATTGGATGAGAAATTGCAATTTTTGTAACCTGTACCTGACTAAGAATATTTTTAGCTTTTAAACTAGAATTTTTTAAAAATCAATCACTTTAATGTATAAAGGAGACAAGTATAACACTTAATGTGCAGACGTCTGGACACTTAATGTGCAGATGTCTGGACATTATATGGACAACTCAAAAGTGAAAAATTAATTACACACATGTGTAATATGTGTAAAGAACATTTTTAGTTAAAAAAAAAAAAAAAAAATTATGCATATTCCTTGGTTTCAAATTAACAAAAACAACTGATCTAATAAAAATATTTAAAAAAAGCATTAAGTGAATGATGTAATGGAATAACCTGCCACACCCATGAGTGATTACACTATAGGTAGTAACTACCTATAAGTATCTGTAAGTCAATGGACTATGGAGTCTAGCTGCGATCTGTTCCAGCTAAACCCGGACGAGGCTCCGCCGAAGGGCAGAGTCTCGTTCAGGGAGGTAGACTGCCCCATAACCAGTTTATACGGGTTTGAAAGGAAATATTTTTGGCCGAGCCTACGGGCTCAAAGAACCCATGTTAAACCCAGCCTTGTGCCACATGAAACCCTCGGGAGGAGGGGGGCTAAATATTTTAGCTGAGATCTGTTGAGTACAACCCAGACTTAAGCAAGAACTACTGACCTTCCAATAGTAACACTCACAACTGAATTGACTTGTGATGACCTTGTGCATATCTGTTACCTTTATTCTTATTGTACTGTTTTGGTTTTTTTTACAATAAACCTTTACTTATTTTATCCACCTTGTTTTTCAAGTATATATTCCTGTTAGCATGGAATATAACAGTGAAAATAACCTTCAGGAAATTTTAAACTGAACACTTTATTCAATCTATGAGGAGAGATTGTTCTCTAGTATTTTACTAAAGAAGAACAAGACTAGATATCCATAAACATGGACAACAGAAAAAGAACAATTTACTACCATAAATGCAATGTAATCCCTATTTGCATTATTTACAATTGGACTATTATCATCATCTTTGTTGTTATTATCACATTACGACCTTTGTGCCTTCTAGCCTTCTTCAGGTGCGTGTCAATCTAGATAACTTCATCAGATTGTAGATTAAAGTGTCGATTAATGAATTTCGTGATATAGAAATTCTGAGTTCAATTCCTACGCTGGGTAGTGCAAACAGACTCAGTAGGAACAGAGTTAGCAATAACTGAGCCATAGTAACTAGACAAGATATCCCTAGACATGTACAGCAGATGAGAATAATCTACCCACTGTAGATTAAATAAAGGGCTCAATTCAAAATTCTCTGAAGGTTACCTGGATTGACAAGGACCTGAAGAAGGCTAGAGAGAACAATGGCCGAAATATGATAATAGCAACAAAGATGAGAACAATAGTCTGAATGTAAATAATAACTCTTCATCCAAGAAATTAAAAGAGATTAAATGAATTAATTTTCTGAATGAAACAGGGCAGCGTTTACAGTAAATTTAAGAATGACAATAATAATTAAAATATAAAATTATGTTATCAATACAAAACAACACTTGACTGATCCAGAAGTACATCTACTTAATTGCATATTTGGGCAGCAAATGTCTTATTAAACATTAAACTAGACAAGTTCTTTTTTATATAATAAAAAAAAAAAACTTAAATACTTTGTCAGTCTTGTTTAACAAAATATGTTTTCCTTAACTTATTCATTTTTAAGATTTTCTTTAGATGAGAATAAACTTGAGTTCTAACAAGTAAAATACTAGACTCAGCCAATAAATGCTGATAATATTTTAGATAAAACAGTTGTTTGTGGTGAGGAGTTAAGCAGCATTTCATGACCTAACTATCTGTTGAGGAAGAAAATTCACCCCTTAACCTCAAATGACCTTTTGAACTTAAAAACTTTCTTTAACAATTATAATAATTTTGTAATAAAAATAGATGTTCTAATCAAACATCCTATTAAACTCAAACTGTTGAGCGTCTGAGAGGGAAACAGAAAGAGAGGAATATAGCGAGAGAGAGAGAGAGAGAAAGTGACTTAGACAAAAAAAGAGTGCAACACAGAGGATTGGAGTGGGGTCATCTTAGATAAAGGCAGTTGCTTATAGTGAGGGCTTAAATCATGATTCATGACCTAACAATCTGTTGAGGACATTTCAATATCTTTAAGAGAGATGCACACTTTTTTCATGACTACATGGCAATAGTAATGGGTTGAAATGTACAAAGTGCATCATTAAAAATATATTAGTAAATCCATGTAATTTACATAGGTCCTGCTAGTTACTACTATTACCACCATTACTACTATTATTATTTTTTTTTAATTTAACTGTTTGTTTTTTGTTTTTTTTACAGTGAGGTTCACCCTATAAAAAGCCCAGGGGCCACTTGACATAGAGGGTTACAATAAGAAACAGTTTATGCAGATAGAAAGGGAAGACAACTCTAGACATGAACAGGTTAAGATTGAAGTGATCATGGAAACATCTTCTTGGAAGACAGTTCCACAGAGCAGTAGTTCATGGGAAGAAGCTGTTCAGGTGGAACGTATCACCATATTTCACCAATGAAATATGGAGGGGATGTTTTGCTACAATGTGGGTGACATGGTGGGTCCTGGCCATGAAGAAACAGTTATCAAAAGCTACTCAGACTATTTTTTTATAGTGAGCTTCACCCTATACAAAGCCCAGGAGCCACTCAATGTAGAGAGTTACATACAGTAAGAAGCAGTTTGTGCATATAGGAGGGGAAGATAACAACTCTAGACATGAACAGGTTAAGATTGTAGTGATCAGGGAAACATCCTCTTGGGAGTTGGTTAGTTTACGGGAAGAAGCCATTCAAATGGAACTTCTTACCAATGGAATACGAAAGGAATATGGGTTGTTTGCTATTATGTAAGTGGCATGGCGTGTCCATGCTGTAAAGGTTTGAACTGGCAGGACCAGGGAATGTAGGTTTTCTGAGCACTTTCTATGTAAGTAGTGATAAAGCAGTGAGATGCTTGCCACGTCCCACCTGTAAAAGAGAGGTTAGAGGGTGGAGAATAATTTGTTACCCACAAAGGCTTGGCAATGCTTTTGGTCTATCACGATTGGAAAGTGAAGTTTGGGAAGCTCCTGCCTAAATATGACAACAGTACTTCATTATCAGTCTGATCTGGCCCTTGTAAAAGATAGGATAGCAGGTGTCAGGTACTTACTGAAGCAGTACAGGGAACTGACTATTTCACCTGCATCCTTAGCAAGAGATCGTATGTACGAGTTCCACTTGAGGTCAGGTGCAAGTTTGAGGTCCAATAGTCTTTCAAGGTACAGGGGCTCACTGAGGAGACATTTATGCATCATGATTAGTGGTAGTTCAGGGTCCAATTAGCAATGTTGGAATGTAACTAGTTTGGTTTTCAAAGGTATTGAATATAATCAATCAGGTTTTACCCCACTGAGTAGTTTGTGCTAGATTGGAAAAGAGATCAGTTGCCAATCTCTCACCATCAAGAGTTTTAGAGATGCACCCATATATAGGCATATCATCAGCATAGATGTTTACAAATGATCTGAGTATATTCTTAGAGGTTTTATGTAAATCAAAAAGAGGGCTGATTCAAAGAGTGACCCATGAGGGACACCTGCATTGACCACTAGGGCTCCAAAGGGCCAGCTATTGATAACTACCTTCAGGGACCTACCTATTAGGAAGTATTTTACAATCAAGAAGACCCTTCCAGTGATTCCATAACTAGAGAGCTTGTGTAGTAAACCTTTGTGCCACACCTTGTCAAAAGCCTTTGAGATATGTAATTGTTGTGGTAGGATCCACCTAATTTTCATAGTGAAGTACCAACCATATAAATATGGTTGGTACCGGGAAGAGAGGGAGGAATCAAGAGATTCAACCAGAGACTCTGCCCGACTGCGACTCAGTCAACACATTCTCCAGGAACGGTCTTACCAGGAATATACAAAAGACTATATGTAAATATTGTGTACACTTTCTTGTTTCAATACATTTTGTTCTAAGTACATTTTGTGTTGCATTATTATTCCATGCATTAGTCAAGTTTCAACAGTAATGCTATGGTTCTTGAGGTGAGTTTGTTGTCAAGAGCCTCACTAATTCTGTGAGAGATGGTAGTTAGGACGTCAACAGTGGATTGGGCTGATCCAAACCCATACTCTCGTCACTGAAGGTGTTGTCCTTTTCTAAGTGCTCAGTGACCTTGTTGATTACATCTAATGATACAATATTACTACTACTATTACTACAATTGCTACTACTATTATTATTACTACTAATATTACTACTTTTACTATTATTTCAACTTGCTAGTATTATTACGACTGACATCCCACCTCATCAATGACAACTGAGATCCAAACACAGTTATGAACTCCGTAGTCCTTTTGATGGCTGCATAGGATGTGCTCCACCAGGGCTACATATAGCTTGTCCTTCTCCTAGACTGGTTGCCATCAAAAGCTGAAAAGCCCACTCTGTCCTATTTAACCCATAGCTAGGGGATCTATATCTTTCCTAAGGGTATTTGCATGTAAGTGAATGTAATGAACCTAACTGGAATAATGATCAGTTATAAAAAAAAACAAAAAAATAACAGAAATATGATAAAAGATACTAGTTAGAAACAAATAATAAGACGGGACGGTTTTGAAAAAAAAGTTGATGTTTTCTCTTGGGGATAGTTTCACTCTTTGATATCATAGTGTTGTAATAGAGTTATCAAAAACAACAGTAGAAAACCGGAATTGGTTTAACAAGTTTATTACCTTTTGGTGGTTGGAATTTCAAGCTGAACCCTTTATTTTGCTCACTGGGGTAGACTGTTCTAGTTCCACATGCCATGTTTGATGGATGTCAGTTAACTCTTGCTAATTTCCCTCTGAAAGTTCTCCACTGCCTTAACCGGGTATTGAACTCACACTCTTTGGGTCCTGTCACTGGATCTAACCAACGCCTTTATCCACTGTGCCATGTGTCCTTAAGGGTTCAGTTCGAAATTCCAACCACCTGAAGAAGGCCGGAGCATACAACAGCCGAAACATTGTGATAAATATGGCGACAAAGATGAGGACAGTAGTCCGAATAATGTAAATAATGTAAAAAAAAAAAAAAAAAAAAAAAAAAAAAAAAAAGAGATTTAAATATATAATTGTACTATTGTACTCACATCTTCTTCTGGTATATTCATTTTACCAGGTCGAGTGATTTTGCGGCATGAGACATTTGTTGGTGTGGAGCAACTCGTTGCCTCTTCTTCCTTGTCTTCACCACTTCCCACTTTCTCAGACTTATCTGAGTTACGGAATCGAGCTCGGATGACATTTTTCAAACTCATTGCGTTTCGCAACTGGAACACTTAATAACCACTCATGCTAACATCAGATTTCACGTGTTCAAACTCTTGTAGAACCTGTAAAGACAAAAAGACGGAGGCCATATTAATTAACCTTCAATTAATTTTCACTTCAGCAAAACTATCAAATCACAAGGTTTCAATGTTATTTACATGGAGTGTTTGAGCTAGCTGAAACCATGGAAATTTCACGAGATTTATTATCTCTTCCTTAAGATTATTCATTATCTCCTACCTATGCTCTTCACTCACTCTTTGCCTGTATCGTCACATTCTTTCCCTTATTTTACTAGTTGAACCCATGGAAATTCAATAAATGTTGACAATGAAGACTATTTTTTATCTTGTCCTTTGCCTGTATCTTCTCATTTTCTGTCTTATTCACTCTAACCTTCATTGCTCATTGATGTTTTTATCTGCTGTAAAAGCATGGAAAGGATGTATATTTCCTAGTATATGCTCTCTTTTATCTTTCTTTTGCTTTATCTATTCATAAAGAACTAGTGTATCCATGCCATCAAAATTGACGTCAAGAAGGAATGTTTTATAAGTAATATATATCATATTGTAAGTAATTTTCCTTTAATCCAGGTACAATTTTGTAATTTAATATAGTTTGTTGTTAACGTTAATAATTGAACAGTGTAAAGTTTATAAACACCTAAGGAAAGATATCCGTATATTATCCTCATAAATGTTACATATTTACAACCAAAATTATGTTCACAGCAAAAGTTCCCAAGGCACAATATTTTTTGTGTCAACTTTGGAAGGTCTGAGTAATCTTTGACAGTCCGTAGATTCAATGTGTAATTTCAGAGTCTGCTTATTTCTCATCTTACTAAAAGCAATATATTTTTTTAATTTTTTTTTCTTAAGCTATTACCAAAATCCACAAGATATGCTTCAAATCGTAACATAAAAACTGCATTAAATCTATCTAATTATTTAATAGTATAAGCTTTTAATTGTTATCATAAATAATATAAATGAAGAATGTAGTGTGAATAAAAAAAAACAATGTTTCAATGACTAATGAATTATTACAAGAATTGTTTCCCCTCCACACTTTTTTTTTTTTTTTTTTTTAATTATAATTTCTAAAGTTTAAAATGAATTTTGAAAAATGAAGAAAGCATTCTTGAAGATATATGTAGTGTATTATATATATGAACCCTATCCAATACTGATATCAGTATATGTCAACGGAACCAAGTTTGCCTGGTACTGGGTGGGTTATCGTTATTTTGCACACTGCCCCTCAATTGTTATACCCATACACACACACACAAAAAAAAAAAAAGTAAATATATATGTGGTGTATAAAGAAACAGATTATTATTGCCACACCAGGATAAAAATGATCTTTAAAAAAAGGGGATCATATTTTATTCATAAACAAAAAAAGGATACAAAATTATCACAGGCATTAAAATTTTCAGGTACCTTTCGGCCGACACATCTTCAGAATAAATAACATTGTCAAAAAATAAAATTAAGTAGTTGAAAAGAAAAATTATTTTCAACAACTGGTATTAAAATATACTAAAACCAGGGGAGGGAACAAAAAAAGACACCATTTTCCTGGTTAGGCATTGAATTGGCGACTGGCTCCCCAAATAAGGCCAACTTGTGCTTTAATTCTCTCTGCCTACACAAGACAGGACATTGTATATCAATAACAAACCGAAAAAAAGCCAATATATATTGTAATCGCACATATAATGTTATCCCATATCTCTCTCTCTCTCTCTATATATATATATATATATCTATATATATACACTAGCAGTAGAGCCCGGCGTTGCTAGGGGATGTAACAGTAAGAGATAGATCAAGCATTGACCATCATAAAAACGGAAAAATAAAATTGACAAAGATTATTGTTTAAGGTTGACAGACACGCATGTCTTAATTAGTTTTTTTTTTTTTTTTTTGAATTGGTTAAACCCAAACTCAAACAAAACATTGTTTTCAATCGTTATGAGTCTACCGATTGAATAGAATTTTATTATAAACAATTGTCTTGTAAATGGAATTTTTAAAGCATTCTGAATGTAAAAATAAAGAAAAATGTGTGCAAGACAATAAGAAACACTACCTGCCAAAAAAAAGTGAAGTTTTGTTGAAATCGGTTGAAAAATGTAGGAAATCCGATCCCATATATAAACGAACACATACACACACAAACAACCTGGGTTTTATAAGTATAACGTGATATGAGTTGTCCCCCTTTCATTCTTGTGATGCCTCTTAATCGTGTTTTCAAATTGATTTCGTGTAAAAACAATTGTGTTTTTCCAATTTTTGGCGCTGTTAGAACCACCGCAAGGTAATTTTACGTAGTTCTGTGAAGTTTTATTGAAATCGGTTAAAAAATGTAGGAAATCCGATAAAATATATAAACGTACAGACACACACACACAATCTGCGTTTTATAATAAGTAAGATATATATATATATATATATATATATTGTTATCATATATCTCTCTATATCTATATATAATGATCTTTAAAAAAGAGATCATATTATATTTATAAAAAAAGGATACAAAAGTATAACAGGCATTAAAATTGTAGGTACCTTTTGACTGACATATCTTCAGGATAAATATCGTTGACAAGTAAAAGTAAGTGGTTGAAAAGAAAAATTATTTTCAACAACTGGTGTCAAAATATACCAAAACTATGGTGGGGGGACAAAAAAAAAAAAAACAACATTATTTGCCAACGATATTATTTATTCTGAAGATGTGTCGGCCAAAAGGTACCTAAAAATTTTAATTACTGTGATACTATTGTATCCTTTTTTTTTGAAAATATGATCCCTTTTTTAAATGATCATATATATATATATATATATATATATATATATATATATATAATTAATATATTTTTTATAATTATATTTTATTCTTAAAATTTTTTATTTTTTTATATATTTTGGGCCACTTTCTTCAGCTATTACAAAATAAGTTTGTTATTTTTTTGCCTTCAACATTTACCAATTTGACTATAATTCATCAAATTTCTGTCTGAATTTCTGAGATGAAGATTATTATTTACATGTGGACTATTGTCCTCATCTTTGTTATATTTTAGTAATTATGCACTCTAGCATTCTTCATGTGTTTGTTAATCCAGATAATCTTCAGGGAATTTCAAACTGAACCCTTTATTTCATTTATGGGGGTAATTGTTCTCATTTCACTACCCATATCTAGGAATATAGCATCTAGTAATTGTGCAGTACTAAATAAGAACTAGATGATATATTTTGAGATATGGGTAGTGTAATGAGAGCAGCCCACTTTTGCAGATTAAATAAAGGGTTTAATTCAAAATTCCCTGTAGGTTACCCAGTTTGAGAAAAACCTGATGACGTCCAAAAGACAATGGCTGAAATGTTGTGATAACAATGATGAGGACAATAATTCATTTAAATAATGTTATAGCTACAAAATTTTCTCTTAATAAAGGGAACCTGAAGTATGTTTTAGTACATTACTTTTTGAAAATTCCAAAGGATTTTAAATTTTTAGTGAGGGGTTCAGTTTATGGTGTAGATATAATGTTAAACTGGATCCATACTTTGTGTTCAACTGGTTCACTAAACTTTTTTTGTTTAACCATACTTGAAACATTTTGTGAAATTCCTCTGAGATATTTAAATTAATCGAGATCCTTAATCTTATAATGATTTTTAAATAAGCTTCTTAATAAATACATGCATCAAATCCATGATTATTTATTGGGAAGAAAGGACCTATTTATGTCTTCTACAGAAAATAGCTTAAAATCTTACTCATAAGTTTTCAGCTAGTATGTAGAATTAAAGCATGACTAAAGACAGTTTATTTATTGTTAATTAATTTGTTTTTAATTTTTGTTCACCCAAGACTCTGAAGGTGACCTCCTCACAGTAACAAAAAAAATGAAATCATTGGAAAATACTTTTTTATTGTTTGATGTCAAAAATAGACCATTTTGAAAGTCATTCAATGACAACATAAAATTGTTATCTTTTATCTTTTAATGTAATTAATATGGAATATTTTTTTCGATTTCATATATAAAAAAATTACATTATCCTCAAATAAAATAAAATATATTAGTACATACACTGAAATCATAAGTATCCCATTTTTTTTTCAATAGTTATTATCCTTGTAATTCTTATTTATTAAACTGACACATGAATATATATAAATCTTGGGATCATTCAAAATAAGCAGATACCAATTTTTAAAAATAGCTAAGCACAAAACAAGCTCATTAATCTATATCTATAAAACAGAAGATGCATGCGTGTGTGCTATTTATGCACACCCACATTTCACAACTGATTTCAACAAAATTTTACACACATGCTTCAAATTTACCAAGATAAGTAAGACCAACTTTTCAGTCTCCAGGCTCTCTGAGTTTGGCAGAAAAATAGAAGGTGAGTATGTATGACTTTTTACAAAAACCAAGGCAAAGTTACACACAAACAAAATTTTTACTGGAAAAGCTCAAACTTTTTGCACTTAATGCAAAACATAGCTCATGTTACGAGGTTTATGTAGAGTGCTTCATAGTTTTCCTGCAACATTGGCTTCACACAAAAAATTCTAAAAAAATTGTTAAAAAAAAAAAAAAAAAAATTCATGTTTTTTTGAATTACTGAAAATAAAAACTTTAATAACTTCCTCATTTTTTATCTGATTTTCTTCAAACATGTTGCAAAAAATTTGACATCATGCAAGAAATAAGCTAGTGTGATTTTAGTTCTGCTCACTTCCTTGCATATAATGAAAAACTACAAAAAACCTGTTCAAAAAGCCCATTTTTAGGCCATAACTTTCTGGTTTTTCATCCAATGCTTTCCAAATTAGCCTTGCAAGTTACATATGACACACAATTTGTCTAACAGGAATGTTTGATTTAAATCATTTCAGTTAAGCAGGCAAAATCTGCAACAAACTTGATCCAAAATAG